AGTTGGAGTGCGGAACCTTGACCCTTCTTGTAGACACCAAATTTTTATTTTTTATTTATTTATTATTTATTATTTTAATTTATTGATAATTATTAGCTATTTTTACTTATTAATCTCATGATTTTATTTTAGACATTTTTTTTAGCATTTTAGATACCAAATCTTTTTAATTTAGCTTTATTTGTTATTATTTTCATTATTATTGATTAAATGTATTTATTATTCATTTCTTGCTTAATTAGTCGCTTAATTTTTATTTTAAGACATTTTTAATATTAAAATTTGTCGGAAAAAAGAAAATTGTTCACAAAAATATGCTTTAAATTTTTCAGATTCAATTTATGAAAATAATTGATTTATTAAAAAAAAAGAAAAAAAAGGAAGTCGCGCGCGTGCATGGCACGCGCTCTACTTCTCTTAAGCTTCGTACTAGCAGAAACAGAAGCAGAATTGCAGTGTTTTTTTTTCCCAGCTCTTTCTCATCGCTTCATCTCATTTTTTAGCTCCGTTCGATTGTTTTAATAAGCCATCTGGCTTAATCTAGAAACCTCAATGGTTTGGGCATCAAGAACCATCAAACGGTTCCTCAAATACCATAGAAAGGTGGCTTCATCTATACCATTACTGAGAGGGTTTAGGTCCTGGTGTGCCATATAAAAGCATAAAGAGGGTTTAAGGGAATCCAGGGGGATGATGGCTGAAGGGAGGTTTTAGAGAGAATCTGGAGTGATGGCAGAGGAAAAAAAAAAGAGCTTTGAGACTGGAGAGAAAACTGGAAAATAAAAGAAAAAGAAAGGTGAGTGTGTGACGGCTGAAAAGAAGGAAACAAGAAACAAGATAGTGTGGCGGCTAGAGAGGAAAAACTAAGAGAATTTGGTGAGTAAAAAAGAGCAGGAGTGAAAGAGACGGAAAACGAGAGAGAGACAGAGTGAAAAGGCAGAAAGCAAGGGAGAGCTAGGGTGAATTCTTAGTTTATGATGGAAAAAAAAAAGAATTCTACAACGAGGGCAGTTCTTGGAGTGTGTTCTGCAAATAGGGGTCTTCGCATTCCGGAAATGCGAGCTCGAATTGGAGCTCGCATTCCCGGAATGCGAGCTCACTGAGAGCTGGGTGAGCGCCAAGACAAGGCTACGTTACAGTCTTCGTCGGCTTGGCGTGGCATAGGTACAGGTGCTGGTGGATGTAGTCGCATTGTCTCTTTGACAATGGCCTGTAGGTAGACTAAATTCTTGATATCAGATTCTTCTACCCATCTCTCTTTACCAACAAAAGAGTCAATCTCTTCCTGGGCTTTTTGCAAAACGTGCCTATGGTTCAGTAGCAGGGAGATAACCCAGCTCAACGCCCTTGATGTGGTACTAGTTCCTGCTACAATAAGCACCTGCAAGCAAAATAATAATAATAATAATAATGAAAAGTAACAAATAGAACTATGCATGTGTACTTTTTCCCCCATTTAAATGTATTATAATAAAATAACGTATTTCTAACTGTACAATTACCAATTTTTTTTATTATAAAAGAATTATGCATGTATAGTAAATTATATTAAGTTTGAATTTCATTTTAAATTTCGTAAATTTCATTTTAAATTTTTTTCCTAACAAGTTTGAATTTAATTTTCTAAAAGTCATACTTATAAATGCGAAATCTAACAAAAAAGTTAACTACAATTTTTGGAGGACAAATTTATCAAATGCGAGCTATTTGCAAAATTTTAAATATTTGCAAAATTTTAAAAAAAAAACATCTAGGAGCTCGCATTTAGCTCTTACTATTTTCTGGAAAAAATTCTCTAGCTCGGACATCCATTCATGATAGTCAGCTTCGTTTCTTTGCTTTGCCTGCCCGCTATTTCTGAAAGAAATAGAGTCAAGTGTAATTTTTTTTTTCTTTTTGGAAGATTTGCAGTTCAAGAAAACTAACATTGAAGTCTCTGATGCCTCCAGTGCGGGCCCCCTAACGCTTTTGGTGCTAACAGGAGCCTAGCCATCTTCTGAGCTAGCCTTTCCAGTTCATGACGATTGGTGCTAATCAGGGAAGTGGAATTCATTCTCTGACCCAGGAGCTCCTTTCTTTTTTTACGAATATAGAGGCTGCTAGAGAGCTCTGGGGGAGCTAGTAAAAAAAATTAAATTAGAGATCGTATTTGCGGAATGCGAACTCAATAACCTCGCATTCGTGAGCTCGCATTTCACGAATGCGAAGACCCCCGGACGGAATCCATTACTAAAATCACCCCTTTTGTAGAATTTTTTTAAAATTTATCACAAAATTAGAAATTTCTCGGGAGAGCTAGAGGGAAGAAACCAAGGGTTTCGACAAGAAAAGGGGGTTTTTGGGCAGAGGAAAGAAAGAACTTGGGACTAAGGGAAATCAAGCAACAAAGCAACGGAGCAAGAGGAGGAGAACCAAGAAGGAGCCACGGCTGAGCAAGATCTTTGAGGGTTCAAGTCAAACCAAAAGAAGGAGAGGAGCTACTACGGGAGTCCCTTTTCCATCGCTGCTAGAAAATCCCACCAAAATAGCGCTGTAAGGTTCTTATCAGCCCCTTCCTATAGATAATCTCTGTTAATACGTGATGTCTTTTGATTATTTCTTTTGGCTTTGAGCCCCTTAGTATGGCAAAAAGGAGTTGCAGTAGCTGTTTTCCTTGTCATTGTAGCCTAAAGCTGTAACCTTTTTGCTGGCATTTTGCATGACAAGTATGTTAGGGTTCCAAATTTGTTTGGTGTTGTTATTTTATTCCCAAGCTGAAGTTTAGGAGCAAAGATGTTAACTTTGAAAAGAAAAAATGACATTTACATGGCCAGTTTATTCGAAAATGCATCTGAAGTCATATGTTGGGTAAGTTGTAGAAGGTTCCCAGTTTGTGCGTGTTTTCTGTTCTGATTTTTATGCTGAAAAATCAAGGTTTTACATTGGCAAAAGTATGAAGAACCTGAGTTTTGGATTGCATGCGGCTGAGATTGGTACCTTAAGAATCTACTGCAACAAGCTCACAGTTCTCGGCTTGTTGCAGCAGTACGGGCAAATCAGTTTTTTTTCTTTGGTTGCTCGTTCGATGTTCTTGTTTTTTGCTGTTTGACTGGGATGTTGTGAACATGTTTTCTATCAAAGCATGATTTAGACCCTTCTTAGGGACAAAAGCCTTTAGTGTTCTTCCATGCGCGAAGCAAGAGGGATGAGAATCATGAGTTTTGAGTTTATTGTCTGGTGCATTTTTCTGATGCGGTCTTTGATTGTTCTATGAAATTTTTGGGTAAAAGTTTAGCTAGTGTTCAGGTCACTTTGTTACATTTGGTGTCCGAAAGCTTGTTGGATGTCTCCCCTCTCCCTTGTTTCATGTTCTCGTGTTTTAGTTGCATTGAGTCGTTTTCTGGTTACTGGTATGAGGAATCACAGGTTGCTGCAACAAGCTCGAAACTCTCAGTTTTATTGCAGCAATGTGTACAGAACTTCTTCTTTTCTTGTTTGCTTTGTTTTTCTGGTCGAGCCTTAATAAGATCTTCAAGTCACATTTGCTGCGTTTTGTGTCTGGAAGTTGTTAAAGTCTCCTCTCCCCCTGTCCCAAGTTTCCTGCATTCATGTGTATAAATAAGTTTAGGACATGCATTGAGTTTTTTTTTTCTTCTGTTTAAAGGTATTAGCTTCGGTATGAGCAACTAAAAATTGTTGTAACAAGGTTGGAATTACTTGCTTGTTATAGCAATGTTGATAGCTCTCGATTAATTGTAGCAAAGTGAAACTCGACCAGGCTGCATTTTTGTTTTGTTGGACTGTCAAGACCATTGCTTGGTAGTTTAGGAAAGGTTCAGTCATAGTTTTTTGGAAAAGGGAGTTTCCTGGCTTGTTGCAGCAACAAAGGTAGATATATTTTTTTTTTTGCAAATGAGTGAAACCTTCGCTGCTCCAAGTTCATTTTCTTTTGCTGATTTTGTGTTCAGCCCCCTTGTTTGATTTCAGTGGGGAAAACAATGGCATTTGGTTGATGTTAACAACATGGAATTGAGGTCATTGCATTTGTGTTTGGTTTGGTTTGAGTTGTTTCATCAATGTGTTTCGGTTAGAATGAGGAAAGTTGCAGCTAACTTAGAATTGCAGAAAGCTTCATTACCTGTCGAAATTTTTTTAGTAGAAAGCTTTGTTCGTTTGGTTTTGCATGGAGTTTGCATGAAAAACCTCCTCATTTTGGTTCTGCCATTCCCTTGCATGCATGATAAGTTGGAATGATAATTTGAGGATTGGGTTGCAGTTTGAGAAGTTTGTGAAATCATGTCCCGCATGATTGCTGAAGCCTAAAAGTATAGAAAGTAGTTGCAGAAGCTTGTTTCATTCGTAGTGTTTGCATGCTTTGCATGAAAACAGTTTCCAAAATTGCAAACCATCCCCTTAAGTCTCCCACTTGAGATCCTCGGTGACATGTTTTCTATGCCAATTCAATGCCACCTATAGTATTGCGCCAAGTGTCCTGTTATTATTTGCACTTGGGTTAAACCAAACCAAGTTGAATTATTAGAAAATTAAAGTGTAAATAATAACAGAACACTTGGTGCAATACTATAAGTGATATTGGGTTGGCATAGAAAACATGTCACCGAGAATCTCAAGTTAATTCCTAAAACCCCAAAACAAAAAAAGAGACAAAATAGGAGAGTATTCAATATATCACAAAAAGGAAGATTTTCCAAAGGAGCTCTCGTGTCTTGGAATTGTGGTGTCCCAAAATAAGAAAGAGACTGAACAAGAAAACTCAACACTACGCAAAAGGGAGAGAATTCCCTAAATGAGTTTACGTCTCTGGTGATAGAAGTGCCACACCAACTGCCATGCGCGCCAAACCCTCTATTTATAGGAGAAATTCTTCCATGTGAAAGCCTTCGAACGAATAGTATTTGAATGGAAATGGCTGCTACGAATTTGACTAATAAAACATACAACTCAATAGTTGGGGTATATGCTAGGACGCTAAATAGGTAAAAAAAAAAATGTCCATGTAGCTCTCAAAATTTGACAGCACCATAAATGATTTCACATGGATGTCAAAGACATATTTTAACACTTTTATTATTTATTTTTTCCCATCCTCCCGGATGGAGTTCTTATTAAGATAGTCGAATGAACCAGAAGTACATAAAGAAACAGAGACCACCACGTACGTATATGGTCTGAAATAAAACTAAATATCTGTTATTGGCTTTCTTAATTATTGGTTTTCACTTTATTATTCAAACTTCCCATCCTCCTCAGCATCGCCTTATGGTAATATTGGCCATTGTAACCGTATAATTCCTTGCTGGTATTTGTCGAACTGCCAGAAAGGTTGCATATCCACGAACATACCTAAATATTTTGGTGCCAGAAAGTACTGAAAATTCAGTCACCGAAGTATTTTGTATGCTATATCCTAGTCCTTGGAATTCCAAAGTGCTACCGTTGTATTGTCCGTCGGTGAACATGAAGGAAAATGGGTCAAATGAGTAAAGTCCATCACGGGATGAAGCTACATAAAGGCCTTGGCTTCGACCAACAGTTGGAGAATTGATGCTGATGCTTTCTGTAAAGGGAGAATCATTAACATAAATGGTTCCAAATTCGGTGGGAGTTCTCGGCCTACCAGGGGCGCCGGCAACTGCGACAGTGGTGGCATTTGGTCCGCCTGAAAACAGTTGAAGGTACACAGTAATCTTTGTTTCCTTTCCACCGCAGCAATAATCACGGTCACGATGATTAGCTTCTGAACAAACAAAGATTGCTACTAATAGCAAAAGGGAAATTTGGATGGATGTTAAAGCTGAACCTTTTGCCATTTTGTATGTTGAAAGGCTTGCTGAAAAACAAAGAAGGAAGAAACAAATTAGTTAGATGGTGAAGATAATTTGTTCAATGACCATATTTATAGGATGGAGTCAAGGAGTTAGGTATAGCACAAAAAGTTTTAAAAGACAATTAAACATCAATGGGTGGCCATCTATCACAATAGGTTTGTGTAGAATGGTGTGGTGTAATCAGCATATATACATTCATAGTTCATAGCCAAGAATTTCTTTTCATATATAATGGGATAATGGAAAACCTTGTTAACATGAAACACATTTACCTAACAAAAATGAAACACATTTAATAAGGTTCTGGAAAAGGATTAACTCCACTTTGCATTTTCAAACTTGTACCACTTTAACAAGGTTCCGAACTTGTGCTTAGCAGATAAATCAATGTCGACTTTTGATTTTTCTGCATATAAATGGTTTAAATGAAATGAGATTACATTTCTGAGAGTTAGGTAGAGCATAAAAAGTTTTAAGAGAGAATTAAAAATCAATGGGTGGCCACCTATCACAATAGGTTTGAGTAGAATGGTGCGATATACTCAGTAGATATATCATTCAAAGTTGATAGCCAAGAATTTCTTTTAGGGATGGCAACTAGGTCGGATGATCACGGGCTAATGGGCCGGGGAGGGGATTTTTTCCGCCGTTAAAAAATGGGGCAGGGGGCAAGGGAGTAAACCCCCGCCTCACCACCCATTAAAAAAATTAAATCTATATATGTATATATTCATATATAATATTTAATTTAATTTGTTACAAATATATAATAATGATATTATTAGTTATAAATATTATATAATGCATATTAGTATTTGTAATATAAATGATTAGTATTTGTAATATAGTTGATATTATCAAATACTAATAATAGTACATGTCTACTAATAGAAATTATTAATTAGTTATATTAAATCTACTAATACAATTATACTAAATTCGTAATTACACTTAACACAATAACACTTTTTTCTCAGAAAAAAAAAACACAATAATGACTTAATGATTGTAGTTTTCTCAAAAGCGAAAACTTGACTATTTTAGTTATATTTGTTTCATCATGTTGGATTGTATTCAAATAACTTTTGTTTAATTGTTTTTTATGGGTTTCAATTATGAAATTACAATGGATAATGACTTGGTCATATGTTGGCATTTAAGTATTTGATTCTTTGCTCAAATTTGACTACAATGAAATTATATAACAAATTTTTATTAGCCCGACGGGTGCTTCCGTGGGGGTAGCGGGGACGGGTAGGAGGACTGAGGGGCAAGGGAAATTCCCCCCGCCCTACTGCCATTCCTAATTTCTTTTGCTATATAGTGTAATACTGGAAAACCTTGAAAACCTGAAACACATTTACCCCAAAAAAATGAAATACAGTTTACAAGGTTCTGGAAAATGATTAACTCAACTTTGCATCTTTGAATTTGTACCACTTTAACAGGATTCCAAACTTATACTCAGCAGATAAATCGAACTTGACTTTTGATTTTTCTATAGATGAATGGTTTAAATGAAATAGGATTGCATTTCAAAGAGTCAGGTAGAGATTAAAAGGTTTTAAAAGAGAATTAAACCTCAATGGGTGGCCACTTATCACAGTAGGTTTGTGTAGAATGGTGTGGTATATGTGACAGCCCCACTTTCCCCTAAGGCGAACCAAAGGGGTTAGCGGGCTGCCTGCCTATCTCTCGCCAGGACTAACGGTGCAGTTTAAAGCGATCTATTGCGTTCCGGAACTTATAACGCGCGTAAACAAGTCAAAATGTCCAAAATAACCCAAAGTAAAAAAATGAAATCCGGAGTCGGCCATGAATAGTAACCGACCCGTCAGAACCCAGTCAAACATCAAAATACATATACAACATAACATTTAGTATTTACAAGCCAAAATGGCATACAAAAGTGATACAAAAGTTACTACATGTATGGTTTGCCAAAATCCAAAGTGAAACGGCCCTAAAGGTACATTTAGGGTTTCGATTCATAAGCTATACAAAAGAGACATTCATTTAGCTCATTCGGCAACCAACTAGCAAGAATCATTCCAAAAGTAGTCATATGCCTGTAAGGAAAACAAAAGGAACGGTGTGAGCTAATTGCCCAGTAAGATACTATCACTTAAGCAACCAAGATCACATAAGCATAACCTTCATTCCAATTACTTTATTAAGAAGTAAAACAAATCGGTAAAAGGATACGGACGGCTCTCAAGAGCCCATTTCCACGCTTACATTCTTGATCGAACCTCATTGACCCTCCGTCAATGTTTAAGAATAACCAACCGTAGACTTCACTTCACTTCCATTCTTTCCACCCAACATACCCCTACCGGGCCCGCACTCCAAACAGTAGCCATTTGGTAATACTCGAGTATACCGGAATCGAGAGTCTCACTACTACAAGATTCCATATAACAGTCCCCATGGCTCGTCAATTTTCACGACCAAGCCCTCGCCGGCTCGATTCAATTGACTACCAACGGGGTTGAGCTCAGTAGTAACAGTAAGGCCGTTGGATACTCGTCCAAACGACACCAAATCAGTTTTCCATGAATGGAATTTAGTATTTCATGTATCATTCAGTCATTACAGTGAAACAGTAGACAATCCTCAACAATATCAAAGGATGTGAGGGCGATCAAGTACACCCTCACTTTAATCAGTTTCAACAGTGCAAATAAGCCTTCAAGGCGTTAATTTCAATATAATAAAGCCACATTGTAAACAAACAAGTGAGTAGTATACTCACATAGCAAGCAAGTGGAATATCGTGAACTTCTGCCCAAAAGGCGTCTTTAATTACCGTCACGCCCTAAAACATGCAAACAAGTACAATGAGACTCGATAACGAGTCATAAACCAATGCCAAATACTCCCAAAATAGGGTTCCATACGCATACATAAGCATTAGAGGAAATCAGAAAAATCCGGAAATGCAATTGGACTTCAATTAAAAAAACAGTTTTTGACGTCATTATGCGGTTTTAGCACCAACGGCACTACAATTATCGGATGGGGGTGTAAGACCCACCGTTTCGAAGCTAAGAGACAGGGATACAATGTTTCAGAAGGCAATTTTGTCCAGTTTTGAGTGTAACAAGGTCAAAAATGCAAGATACTATACCAGAACCGGAAAAACAGATTCACAAAACGCATTCTGCTGTAAACAGCATAACTCAGCCTAATTAAGCCCAAATCCAGAAATTCCAAAACCATCTGAAAGCTAAGAAACAGGGATAAATTTCATCATAAGGCCTCAACAACCAATTAGGAAGCAATTCCAGCCAAAACAACCAATTACAGGCGCAATTCTTACATTCGGGTAAAACCAGAACAGCAATAGTAATTTCGACTTTTCTCATTCTACACTACTCCGATTGACCTGAAATTTTGTAGGCACCTCTAAAATGTCATTCCCTACAACTTTCATGTTTTAAACCAAGGCCAATTCGGCCTCTAACTAGGAGCTAAAAATTCGGGCAGAATGCTCCCTCAAGAACCCTAATTTTCTGAAATTTCTTCCAAACCAGAAATTGGTTGCAATTAATCATTTTTTCCACCTCCTAGAGTCATTATATACCATTTCTAATCATCATAGATAGCCACACAATCATGCTCATATTAAAACAGAAAAAAATCTCCAAAAATAATAAAACTTCATCACTTCAACCACAAATCAAGAAATAACCCATAAACTTGCATCTCATACTACCACTAAGCATGATTTAAGCATCAATTAAGGGAGGAGGGTGGTTCTTCACAACTTACCTTAAAACAAGAGAGAGAGAGCTATTGGACACCTTAACTTTCCAAATAACTTCACACAACAACTCACCAACACCTCCTTAAGTGGTTTTATGGAGCAAAATCAAGGTTGGATGGTTGGTTTTGATGATTTGGAACAAACTTGAAGAGTTTTCTTCCTTGTGCTTAGAGTAAGAGAGAGAGAAAGAGAGAATGAGAGGGCCGGCCACCATGGAGGATTTTTTGATGATTTTTGGGTAATTTTTAAGCTATTTTAACCAAATTGGTAAAAGGGTGAATAGTGTTCAAAAAGGTCAAACCACTCCTATGGTGACACTTGTCACCTTTTAATAAATACTTACCTACCTTGTCTCTCTTATACCAATCCACTTAGCACCCTCTACTTATCTCTTAACACCCGGTAAATTAATTCCAATATTCAAAACTTAACCTAGTTGGCCGAAATTTTCCGAACTTTTCGCACTAGTGGGTCCCACGTCCGGTATACACTCTTAATTTTCCAAAACCTATTCGATACTAGAAAAATCATCCAAAAACTATATCTGCTCATTAAAAATATCTAGAAAATTTCCCTACTAAAGAAAAAGCAGAAAACAAGCCATTAAATAAATAAAACCCTAGAAAAAAAATGAGAAAATTTCGGGTTCTCACAGTATACACGGTAGATATATCATTCAAAGTTCATAGTCAAGAATTTCTTTTGTTATATAGTGGAATAATGAAAAACCTTGAAGTCTTGAAACACTTTTGCCTAAAAAGAAATAAAAAGCAATGAAACACGTTTGACAAGGTTCTGAAAAAAAGAATTAAATCCACTTTGCACCTTTGAACTTCTATCACTTTAATAAGGTTAACTTACACTTAATAGCTAAATCAATCTTGGCTTTTGATTTTTGTGCGTATAAATGGTTTGAATGAAATAGGATTACATTTCTAAGAGTTAGGTAGAGCATAAAAAGTTTTAAGAGAGAATTAAATGCCAATGGGTGGTCACCTATCAAAATAGGTTTGTATAGAATGGTATACTCAGCAAATATATCATTCAAAGTTGATAGTCAAGAATTTCATCTACTGTAAAAATAATAAAAAGCTCAAACGTTGACTTTCCTGATAATATGATGCTCCATCCAATCCACATATGTTTATCTACGATTCAGCAGTAAATTTGATGAAGAGCTCAAAAGTTGACTTTCCTGATAACATGGTACTCCATTCTTCCCGTTTTATAAGGACTTAACTAACCATTCTGTGGCCAAACCATTATCC